TCCCGGTCATTTTATTCCTAACTTATGATTCAGTCCTAATCATCTTACTATTTTAACTTATGGTTCAATCCTGATAATTTTATTTCTTAATTTGTAGTTTAGTTTAGATCATTATCAATTTTGGATGTTTGAAAAAAAAAATACCCTCCCATAATATGAAAACAAACAAATAACACACAAATAAAACTCCTTCAACCCTTGGTCTTAGACATAGTCAATGTCTTTGGTCTTTGCATTATTTTTTATTCTAAAAAATATACAAAGAAAGGCAACTATAAACATTTAATTTTGTTTAGACAATTTTCAACCATTTGTGAAGCCTTTAAAATCCAACCTAGTTCAAATACATCATGTCTTTAATTTTGTTTGGACCATTGGATGAGTTTAATGGCCACTATTTAATCTCGGAGAGATTTTTTCATCTTTTTCACAAAAAATGTCACGTTTTCTGCAATTTGGAATAGGGGAGCTAGTGAAAACAGAGGAAAGAAAAAATTAAAAAAAAAACCAAAAAAAAAGTGAAAAGAAAAGAAAGAAAAAAATCTTGACAATTTGCTAGTTTAAAGGTATATTTTCTTTACTTTTTATCTTGTTGTTCATCACACATTCATCATATTTTCATACCATTTTCTATTTGATTTTCCTTTTTTCTTTGTGAGAAATTTGTAGTTCTTCATCTTTATTTTTTTTAATCAAAACTTGAATCAACTTTCAACCAACTAATTAATAATTTGATTACAAGTTAGAAATCAAGCAACAAGGAAACTTAAATACCACCATTGATGCCATTTAGAGGTTTAGCCAACCTTCCCTTCACCATTGCCAAACCTTATTTTGGTTCTTTTCATTGTTTTCTTGCTTCCAAAAGTTGCTTGTGATGATTAATGGTAAGTTTATTTGTTATTTGCATAAATTTTAGCTTGTATGTGATATATGCATCTTGTTTGGCTTTGAATGTTTGGTTCCATGATTTCTTTTCCATTTAGTTAATTAGATGCTTGATAAAACTTCTCTCATAATGTAGATGCCTTTAAATGATGAACATGGTGATGATCAATGCTTGCTTAAGTGAAATGGAATGCAAATGTGGTCATGGAAGTGCATGAAAGGTTCTTGGTTTGGCCAAACCTCCCTTTTCATTTTATGGGTGGTTATTGCTTTAATTCATGTGTTGAATTATGTATTTATTATGATTTTCATGTTTTTGAGGTGTTGAATCAAATTTCCAATGGATAAAAAGGTTGTTTTGTGGGTTGATTTGGGTAATTTTTTATATTGATTGGTTAGGTTTCAAAGAACATAAATGGTGGAATATTCAAACAAATTTAAAAATTTTTTTCATATGTGATCCATTTTTCTCTTAACTTTTTACATACAACTTGTTTGTAATTTAATTTCATAAAAGTCTAGGTTTGTAATTAGTTTGCTTCCTTCTTATATTTTTTCAGGCATTCATTTTTTCATTAATTACATTTTTGTAATTTATTTTTCTCACATGCATAATTCCATGAAACCTCAAATCCTATGAAACCCTAAACCATGAACCCCAAATCCTATATTTTAAACCCTAAAACCTAAACCCTAAACTTTGAACCACTTCCCAAACCCTAAACCCTAAACCAACTCCTAAACCTTACCACTTTTCAAATCCTAAATGACCTTTCAAACCCCCAAATGACCTCCTAAACCCTAAACCATCCTCCAAACCCTAAATCCCCTTTCAAACCCTAAACCATCTTTCAAAACTAAACCAAACCTCAAATCAACCATGCATTTGCATTTCATTTTACTTTATTATTTGCATTCATAAATTTTTATGCATTCATACCTTGTCATTCATATCATACATTCATTATATATTATGTTCATGTTATCATGCATAGGTTTTCAAAATGAGTTTTCAAAAAAAAAAAGTTTAAATAAGATAATATCTCGATTATATATAGTCATCGAAATAAGGTTTAACTATAAGAGGACTTTGGTGATTATTATTTATGTGAGGTATTATCTCGATTTTAGTAAGACAATTAAAAACCCTTAAATTAGAAATATTTTTGAAACTCTACCTAATTATAGAAGAGTGAAAAAAATGTTTCGATATTTAAAGAATTTTCATCTTGATCCAAACAAAAAAAGTTTTGTTTTTAAAATTTGATTTATTTTTGTTTCTGATAAAAAAAGAATTAATTTTAAACATTAAGAAAATAAGACCATTTTTACAAAAATTAAAAGATAGCATGTAATCAATTGGTACCGTCTTCGAACTTATCAAGCGTTGTGGGAGTACTAATCCTTCCTTACACATAATTGATTCCTGAATCTAAACTCTGATTTTGCAGACCTCAAATTTGTTCTTTCTATAAAACTTTAAACCCATTTTAAATGTTTTATTGAAATGATAAAATTTTTGGGTAACCAATCACACCTTAAAAAAAGATTGGTAATTGATTCTATTTTTTTTTTTTGAAATTTTCCTTAAAAATATTTTTAGCCTTTGTTTTCAAAATTTCCCCATTCATCCGACTTTCAAGTCATCCACCCCTAATCTCGAAACATCGTGACATTCTACTGACAATTTTACTTCCTTTTATTTCATGTTTAATTTTAACTTTTTGGTACTAATTATAATTATTTTTGCTCTGTTTTGTAGGCTTCTATTGTTGTGAATTAGAACTACTTGCTTGCACCTATTATTTGAATATTTATACAAATTTATGATATTTTTGTTCTTACATATATAGTTAGAATTTATGAACAATTTTGAAGAATATTATTTTATTTTTATCAATGAAATGTATATTTATTTATTTTATTTTGTATCTATTTGAACATATTTTAATTTTCAAGAAATTACTTGAAAAGGAAATTTAAAAAATTTGAGAAAATATATAAGATAGAAAATAAAAAATTATTTATTAATAATTATTAAATATTTTTCTGTTTGAATGTTATCATTAGCAATAAAATATTTTGTCGATAGTAACTATTAGCAACAAAAATTTTCATTGGAAAAAGTTTTATTAACTAAAATTGTTAGTGAAATAATTAAATTTAATAAATATAAAATACTTTTAGTGACAGAATTTTATAAATTATTGATGAAAATATCCATAGCTAAAAGTATTTTTCAAAAATTAATACCCTGGCCAATAGTTTTAGCAATGAAAAATTTGTCACTAAAAATTATATTGTTACCAATAAAAATTTTCCCATACGATGGAGAACTTTTTGTGACTTTAAACTTTACAAAAAAAATTTTGTCAATAATATTCTTTAGCACAGAAAATCAAACTTTAGTGATAGAAAATTTCATCATTAAAAATTTATTTTATTATGTCTTTGGCCAAAGTGGGACAAGGGTTTTAAATGATTCTAAAGTTTATTCAAGGGAGTTAATGTAAAAAACAAGACATAATATAGTTAGATAAAAATAGATTAGACATTAATCCATTCTCAATAGCAAACCGAAATACTAAATGATGACATGATATTAATAATACTACAAAAATCATGCACGAATAGATTGTCAAACTTCATTGACATTTCTTAACAATTAAGGGTCATGACAATATAAATAGCATTGATCATGATCTATAAATGTAAAATGACTATTGAAAAATTAGTGATTCATCTAATTTAAAACAACAATTATAATACTTGTATTTATTGCTAGTATGTTATGGGTCATACACGTTAAGAAATATTGTAAAAGATTAAAATTAAATTAGACTTAATTTGGATTAGGTTAAAAAACCCCAAGACAAAGGAATAAGTAAAGGCTTAATGCCTCTACGTAAGTGAATTCGGCTACACGGTAAATGTCTCATGCAAACCCAAAAAGATTAGAGACTTGGCTAAACCCATCCTTTATAAAAGGATCATTAAGCTACCTCCTATCATAAGTGAATTAAATTAGCGAATAGAATTTCATGTATTGAGAACACAATTGAGAGAAAAACTAAAGAGGGTATATGGCATACTCACTAGTTCGAGTTGTCGACTTGTGATCCTCCCATTCCTTAGAAAGGATTCTTTCATTTTATTTGTGTAAATTACTATTAAAGGCTAAACGTTTATACAACTATTGATCTGGTAATTCTTGAAAAGTTCTTGAAGCCATCATAAGCCATTATGTTTGTTTTACCCAAATCTAGAATTTGTTTTGTGAAATTTTATTTTTGAGAAATGAAAATTTTTAAAATTCCCCTGCATCAGTCAATCTTAATGTTCAATCCCTTCAATACCTCCATAAAAATTATCAAAGGGGAGGAGTCCTATGGCAACTTAAATTTGAAGTTGCATCTCACTACGGATACGGGTGAGTTTAACGAGTTAAATTTTTCTTTCTTGGAATTACATATATGTTGTAGCACATAACTAGTAAAAAACCAATATGCAAAATAAACAATAAAATTGCATAAAATTGAACAAAATTTATATTAGATGAAACTTTTAACTCAAAAGCTGAGAGTTCTAGCAAGAAGAGATACCTGAAATGGTAGTTCGGACGTACAAATGGGTTCGTGAGAAATTGAAAACAGAATATTGGAGGCAGCTTGTATAACTTTTGAAAAGATAAAACATGGTGTACGTCATAACACAATACGCTGATCAAATTTGTGCATTTACCATTCAGGAAGGCAATACATGAAACTGCACTAAACACATCCAGTATTCCACTTTAATTCTTATCCAAGCACTGGAATTTCAAAATTGTCAGACAACATGAAACTTAAATCATACAATTCCGATCACCATAACTGCAAGCCGCCAAGTGCAATGAGAGAACTTGGATTCAAACCCATACTCTCCAAATAATAATGGTACAGAATCTCACAGGACACGGTATGCATAAGCAACTAGAGAAGACAATAAAAAGTCATTTGTGATACTGGGAGATACCAACATTTTTCAAGAAGCTTAACTGCTCAAGAAAATTAAAAAAAAAAAAAATGGAAATGTGAAATGTAAAGATTCAATGCATTGAAGTTGGTATCAGATGAAGATTCCCAAATACCTATTTATAGTTTACATTTATTTTACTTAAATGTAATGTTCCTTGTGAACTTTCAAATCAGTAACTCAGATTCAAATGCTACTTCTTGACTCTGCTTCAACCACAGAAAATAAGAGAACTTTGAAGATCCCACTTCAAATGCACTTCAAAATTTGTAAACAAAATGGTTTGACTTTGAGGGTGTGTGAAATTGCCAGAACCAGAAAAAAAGATTACAACAAAGCCAAAAATAGAGATTTTATTTGATGAATGGAGTAAAACATTAATTCCCCTCTCTGAGAACTCTACAACCCCATTTTTTTCTCCGCCTTCTGGATCTGGTTGAGGAATATCCAAGTCATCTGCATAAGAGAACATCCAGTCATCAGGGATAACTAAAAACTCTTTACTAAAAGCTTTCACTTTACAGTTGAATTGGAGAATCACAAATGGACAAGAATATAATGTATATACCATGACATGCGGAGCAATTCTAACACAATATACGGGGAATCCTGTGTAAAATTTGAATGGCCCTCCAGACTTGAGGGTCTTCATAGCACAGTCTAAAGAGCCACTGTATGGATACTTTCCCTCAGCATCAGGTTGCATTTTTTGAATTTGCGTTTTGACAAAATCAAAAGGTAAACTGCAAGCTGAAGCAAAGAAACCTGAAACCGTACTTGCACCTGAGACAAGGAAAACGAACATTGATCAAGGTGGGACAAGAGAGCAAAAGCATACTTTTGCTAAAACTAAAGCCAGTTCACAACATGTTTTAGAACTAGCAAAGAAAAATATAAATGAGGTAGGAGAAACCAGTTCTCAAATTAACAAACAATAAGATGCAAGGAGAGCAATCATCCTGCTAAATTCTCTGAATAAATTATTGAAACTGTAGAAAGAGTTGTTTGAACCAAACTTCCTAAAAAATATAGGCATCATAGCTTAATCAATAAACATAACTCCCCTCCAAAGAGTCGTTACTAATTTTTTTTAATTAAGTGTGATTGGCCACCTAAGAAAACTTATCCTTTTAATAAAACCCTAAAATTAATTAAGATTTATCAAAAAGACAATTTTAGTCTACAAAAACAAAGTTTGGGTTCCAAAGTACAATTAGGTGTATGAAATAATTAACACCCCACAACACCTATAAACATCTGTTGTCCTTCTAGTCTTTGATAAAAGTGGTCTTAATTTAATACCTAAAAGTAATCCTTTTTGTAAAATCATTTTATTTTGTAAAAGATAAAAATATTTTACTTAGGAATAAAATGGAAACCTCAAGGTTTGGAAATCTCCTAAAATTCTCCATCCTCTAAGCAAAATTTAAAGAAAACCCCATTCACTTAAGATTTATCGTAATAGTTCATTAAAATGAAAATAGCATCCTCTCTATATAATAATTCTTAGAAACTCTCTAACATCTAGGCAGAATACCAAAACTTATTTTACTTAAGATGATATCTTAATTTTATTTTGTAAAATCTTTCGAAAATCATAACTATCCTTTACCATAAAATGTTTATGCAAAAGATGAGTAACATAAATGCAAGTAAATATTTGAAGATGAATGAATATAACCAAATAAACACAATAAATGAATAACATTGTGCAATTAATTCTTATCTAATTTAAAAAAAAAATAAAACTTAATTTGAAATAAGTTTTAAATGTTGAGAAACTTTTCTAAATTTACCAACATCTAGGCGAAATTTAAAACAAGTCTCTTCACTTATAATATGATAGCATCCTTTATTCCCCTTATTTTTATAAAATCAATTTTATTTGTTAAAACACAAAACAAGTTATTTAGAAATGCAATGAAAATCCTTAATGTTAAGAAAATTCCTTCAACTCCCCATCATTTAGGCAAAATTTAAAGATAATTTCTTTCACTTAAGATTTATCATAATAATTTCTTAAAATGAAGACAAAATTCTTTGTATATAATAATTGTTAGAAACTCTCCAAAATCTAAATAGAGTACCAAGAACTATTATACTCAACATGTTATCTTGAACTTTTTTTTTATCATTTGAAAATCATGCTTTTTTAACATAAATAAGTAATGCAATGAACGAGCATTATGAATGCATGAGGTAACTAAACAATATGAAAAATGATCCAACTTATTTTTAAAAAGCTAGGTTTTAAGTTCAAGGTATGGATTTAAGTAGGATTTCGAATTGAGTTTGGTTTAAGGTTTGTGCTAGGATTTGGTTTAAGGTTAAAGTTTAGGGTTTGATTTGCAGTTTCAATTAGAGTTTGGATTTAAGGTTTCAATTAGAGTTAGGATTTAAAGTTTCATATAGGGTTAAGGCTTAAGGTTAGTTTAGGGTTGGGCTTAGAATTAGGGTTTGGTTTAAGGTTTTGGCTAGAGTTAGGGTTTTGGGGTATCAACAATAGTTAGGATTTAGAGTTTCTTTTAAGGTTAAGATTTAGAGTTAGCCTAAGGTTTGGGGCTCTAATAGTTTGGGGTTGGTTTTATAAAGAAAAAAATGGAAACCAATGGTTCAAGAAGTTTCCCCTAAATTCCCAATGCCTAGGCAGAATTTTGAAGCAAACTTTTTCTCATTTTTTGTTGTTTTAAATAGCAAAAAGAAAAGCGTCTGTTAAACAGAGCCTAAACAAGTTATTTGCTTCAAGGTAAATCTTTAAGATTCTAAAATGGAGTACTAAAACTCTGTAGTTGTTAGGATAAATAATTACATTGAAACCAATCATTTATGCATATGACATTGAAAAAGGATGTGCTTAAAGCATAATCTCAAAAAAAAAAAAAAAAAAAAAAAATAGAACTCCAAGTATTTGAGGTAGTCCAACTAGAGAACATGTTTCAACAATCTTTCTTTATGTTAGCAATAACTTCTAAAAAATGATTCTGCTATTTGCCTATACCAAGAAAGTAATATTTAGGGATAAGTTATGTTCACACAACAAATTTAGAACCTAATATAGTCCTTTTCCTTTAGTGACGATGCTTAGTGAAAGACTTTAGAATAGTTAAAACATCCATGCTGCTCAGAAAGACTCACCTATCACTGTAGCAGCCTCTCCTAAGCCAAGGGAATCCTTGAAAAACTCAACACTTTGATCATAAGAGGCAAGCATTCCCATGTTCAATGCCATGGCTCTGACTACGGTAGGGCCTGCACCTTTCCAAAGTGCCAAAACCCCTTCATCTGCAACAATACGATAGAGAGCATGGAATGCATTCGAGTAATTTCGGCGCTGAGCAGCAGGCAAAGTGGCATCAGCTTGCATACGGATAAGTGCCAAATCAGCTGGGCTGCCAACACAGGCTCCAATAGCACCAGCAGTCAGACCACATAAAGCCTTCTGATATAGAGGTAGAGGCTTCCCATCATTGGCTTCAATTGCTTTATTTGTCAAAATTCTATAGAAAACAATAGAAATGAAATCATAAGCTAAATCAGAACCAAAATAGATAATCCAAGTTTAGTTTCAGAAGCAAACTACATCAGCGGGACAAAAATCGAATGTCAATAAGGTTCAAAAATAAAGTTTACACCAGAAGAAAAACTATCGATCATTAGAACAAAAACAGAAGTATCTTGAAGAGTATAATGAAAGCCACACAACCATGTACATTCTATCCCATTCTTAGACACTCACCTGAATGATCCAAGTCGGGCAGTAGTGTACGTAGCTTGCCGGAGCAGTCCAGCTGATAGCCCCTGCCCAAAATAACTAAGTGAGACAGACTCATTGACAACAGAAATATTTTCTGAATTCAACTGAGAACATCTAACAAAATTCTTGAATTGTGAAAACAGGAAGTACAATTTCAGCAAGATAAAGTCACTGTCTCAATGTATAAAGCACTGATGAGCAAAATTGCAGCCCCACTTTCCAGATAATTGGACTAAAAATGAAGCATGTATTTTTGCAAATATCAGCTTTCAAATGGTATTAAGTATTAAAAAATCAAGAAGAATATTCCATCCCGTGAAAGAGCACTAAATTCCAATATTTTGACAACACAAATCACTAAATAATGTCATATATATCATTGAATATTAAGGTAGAAAACCTCGAAACTTTGAATATCCTTGATGGTATTCCATGCAAAACAATGTAAAAATAAAAGATCCAGCTTCTAAGACAGATGTCAAAAGTCCATAACAAAATCTAATACCTGAAAAAGTTAGATCAATCAAACATACGACTCAGAAAGAAATCAAAACTTGAATGAAGTTGTAGAACATAACCTTGTAAAAAGCACCAATACCCTCCTCTCTAAGCATGGTCTTGGTGACAGTTGCTGCTGATCCTTGACCCAGTTGGATTCTCACCTACACCAAGCCAAAACAACAAACGACCATTAGCCCATACGAAACCAACCAAACTAGACAAAAGAACCGAAAGAAATCCGAGCAAATCCCAGATCTAAAAAACCCATATTTGGCATTAAAAGTAGCATCTTTTTAACACGGAAAGGAAAAAGAAAGAGCCAATCTACCAGGAATGAAACGAGACATGAAGGTAAAGATGAAAGAAAACCTTGATCATGTCGATAGGTTGGATGACACAGGTGGCGAGCATACCAGATACACCACCATTGACAAAAGGCTTAACCTTTGGCCAAACCCCAGCAGCTTGGGCCTTCTTCTCCTCTGCCATTTCTTTGACTTAAAACAGCGAAAAAAAATGGTTGACTAGGAAAAGAAAAAAAAAATGCTAAAGGAGAAGGTAAGAGCTGGGGCTTTTGTATTGTTCAGACAAAAAGAGGAGTGAAATAGGATGGGCGAAATGAGAGGCTTTCCTAGTCCTATTCTTATTCCTATTCTTATACTTATTCTCTTTATTATTTTTATAAAACCAAATCTTATTTCTTGATATATTTCACAATATTAAAGATAATATTAGTTATTTAGCTTTTAAAAGATATAAAATCGATATAATTTAATATTTTAATAAAAATTTATATAAATTTAAAATAAATTTTATATTTAATTATTATTATAAATTATAATATAATAATTTTTTATTTTATATTAAATACAAAATAAATAAATATAAGTATAAGTTATTGTATAAATGATTAACTATAAATATTATAAATAAAAATAAAAAAAAAAACACTCTTGGTTTGTTTGTCTTTGCGTCCCTCCAACTGTGAAGGGAAAGAGTTTGTACTTTTCCCCTTTGTTTTGGTACGACATCGATTTTGTGGGAAACTACGATGCCACCGTTACTCTTTCGCTCTTCTTCTTAAATTTTCTTCACAATTTTGCCCTTGCTGAGTTTTTCGCTTTTTACTTATTTTTCTCTTTAAAAAGGAAAAAGTATTGCGTCAAGCAATTGACATGTTCCATTAAGGGATTCTATTAGAAAGAAAATAAATAGATATTCGTTATTATTTGGTTTGTATATGTTGAATTTAAATAATTATAAATAAATAATTAATAAATTTAAATAAAAAATTATAATTTGTGATAAATTTAGTAAGATACAAATAGTATTTTTTGATTATCTAATATTCAAATTTATTTAAATTTTAATAAATAAAAATAAATATTCGAACTTGTATTCGGATTCATTACTCATATACAAATGTAAAATATATAAAAATTTATTTTTGTAAAGGGTTTTGAATCATAGCAAAAAAACTTTTATTTGTTATTAATAAAGAGTGAATTTAAATTTAAATTTTAAAATATATTTATTTTAAATTTTGATAAAAAAATTATATAAGTAAAATTTTAATGAATTCAAATATTTAAGCAAATAGTATTTATTTACACAGATTAAAATTTAGATAATGATATTAACTTTAAATTAATATTTTAATAGATTCAGATATTAAAAATATTAAATCAATTCGAATATGAATACCTCAAAAATAGTTGATATCTACTCTATTGTCATCCTTATTCTTTAATGAATTCTATTTATTTGTTAATGTATATAATATTATAAATTTTTAAAATTTGATCCAAATTTCTATCTTTTTTTAAATCGATTTAATTTAAATTGAATTTTAATAGTTTGATTCAATTCTTCAAAAATTTAAATTAATTCTTTATTTTTATATATTATTTTTATATAATTTTTGATATATTTAACTAGACTTATATATGAAATAATTATTTTGTTTTATAAAAAAAATTAAAATATATAAAAGCTAATACAAATATATAATTCAATTCAATTTCTAAAATTTTTCACTTACTAATCCAAAATTCAATATGAATTTAATATATAAATTTAATATATGAATTTAATCTAAATTAAATAAAAAAAATAAATCAAACAATATAATTTTAAATTAATTTTTAATTTTTTCAATTTTTTCTAATCCTTAAATTACCTGTCTTTTCAGGTTAATTGCTAAAATCAGGATTTAATATCTGCCGGCTGCTTTTTTTTTAACTTTCAAGTGCATGGAAGAGTCGGTTAATGGCCTGATTATAAGACATACATATTAGTGTTGAAAACACTTTGGTTTGTCTTGGTTTTAGAAAAAATTTGTGGGTAATGTTCAGTATTTGGGTTTTTAAAAAAATCAAAAGGAAACAGAATCAGAATAAGCCTTTTAATTTAGTTTATTTGAATAAAATTTCACATATTTGTCAATTTTGAGATGTATTAAAATTTATAGCTTTTATATTTTTTAAATTTATTTGTATAGATATAAAATAAACTATTAATTTAAAGTTTATAAAATTAAAAATTAGCGTAAAATAATAAAAAATAATTTATCTTAGATAATTATGATTTTCAACTTATGAAACATAAACTAAATACCAAATCAAAATCAAACTAGATACAATAAAATTCAATTCAAATCAAATAAAAACTACAAATCAAATTTATTTTTTATTTTTTTTCTCAATCCTAGCTAATATAACATAGATCCATTGATCAAATTATGCCATGTCATACTAACATAAAAGTTTAACCTTTACAAGATAACAATTGTATCCATTATTTGTATTTTGAAAAATTATCACATTTATGGTTATTGATAGTGTTTTTGGGATGTCTTAGCTGGAAAGAAGTGAGGTGAGGTTGAGAGGAAGACAATTAGAACCTATAGTAAAGGAAAATTGTTAGGGGGCACTGGAGTTGCCGCTTCAAGGTGCGTTCTAATGCTCAAGTTAATATTGTATTAAAGGTAAGGTACGATAAAATAAGAATAGAAGGAGGAAGAAGATGGTGAAGTATGTGAAGGAAAATTTAGAAAATGGAAAGCTTGGGTGTGTAGGTTATCTCTTACATGCCTAGTCATCCTTTTACCTTATATATGAGACCAAGGAATGGTGCCTTGACTAGAACAGTTGATAGCTAATGGGATGTCTATGTGCAGATCAAGAAGGAGTCATCTCCATGTGAGTAGATGTGAGTTGTATTTAATGATCCTAGGCAGGCATGAACTACATTTAATAGTCCTAGACAAGTTGGATGCCAGGTAGGTGGTCAGTTTTAAAGTGACTACTTTGATTGGATGTCAATGAGGTGTTGGGCAAGTCATTCTCTTGGCAATAGGTGAAATATTTTCCTAGGAGTAGATGATGTGGCACTTTGGGATTGCCTTATCTCGGTGACCCTAAGGTATGACTGCGTTAATTAAGCCTTGACCAAATTGACCATTGGCAAGGTAATTTGGGCGTAACAATGGTCAATAAAGTTTTTAAACTCTATCAATAGATTTAGTAAGATCACACATATCCTTATAAAATATATTTAAAATAATTAAAAAATTAATATACCAAAAAAATATTGGTCAATTCTTTAATCTTGACGAGTTTAAAAACTATACAAAATGATTATATTCATTATATAAATATATAAAATTCAAATATTTTGTAATAACTGTAAAGTGTTACACAACTTCTAAATTTATATTTTCTAATTTTATTACATAAATACAATAGACTTTTGGTTGCCTAGCATTATATGAATTCTTGACTTTTGATTTTCTTATATTCATATTCTTTAAAACCATTATTTGTTAAAATTGATTGAAACCTTTAGTTTTCTAACATTTATATTTTTTACTTTTAATTTTCTTTTAATTTATGGTTTTTCATCTTCTTTTATAAGGATTGTCATAATGTATAGATCTAGAGACTTATCATTAGATATAAACTTTAGGAGTTGCTATCGATTTTTTTTTTGTTTAGGTGCGATTAACCATTTAACTAAATCTGTCTCATTTTAAAGAGAGATTTCCAATTTGATTCGATTATCTTTAAAAGGTAGATTCTAATCTACAAAATTAAATTTAGGTTCGAGAGCGTGGTTATATGTGAGAAAGATTATAGCACTTTCACAACACTTATCCAAATGATGATACTAGTTTGATTTCAAGTTATCCAAGTTTTAAAATATTTTTATAATTTTACCAAATAATTTAATTATTAAAAATTAATTTTAAAATTATTTTAATAGTTTGGTAGTAATATAAGATAATTTTCTCATATTAGGAATATTCATAGAGACTAGCATCATATTTTGAAAAGGCTCAATTGTTAGATTCATTAAAATTTTTTAAACAAAACTTTTATTGGTGATAACTAGACTTAGAGCCTTGATATCGAAAAATTTTTATCCAAATTCTTTAATATATTGATGAAATTTAGAAAAGATCTTCTCACCTAAAAATTTACATAAAAATTGCTATTTACAATGCTTTTAGTAATTTTATCATTAGAGATTTAAAATCTAATTTTTATAAAAAAAACAGTTTATCTTCATAAATATCTTTCAATACGTTGATAAGATTTTCTATCAATGATTATCCTCCAATATGTTAGTAGGATTGAAAAATTCTTTATTTTAAGAAAATTTATTAAGTCCTCTAATAGTTTATTAAGATTTAATTAATATTTAAATCCTCTAATAGTTTGATAATATTGTAAATTTATTTTTTTGAAAATCATTTTTTTATTTGAAGAAAAAACCAATAACTATACAAATAATAATGACTAATCATGCAAATTGAATTCATGAAAATAAATTTTAAAATATTACCAAAATTTTTTTCTTTTTTTTTCTCATCATCCTTAAATAACAATTAAATAATAAATGAAAAACAAAAAATAAGAAAAAAATGAAGAAAAAATAAAAATTAGAAACGAAAATAAAAAAGAAAAAAAGGAAAGTTAAAACTTGCAAGTCGAGTCAGGTTGGAGCGTAGGCAATACACAGGTCAATGAATCAATACACGGGTCCTAAGGTATTCAAAACGACATCATTTTGGCTTAATATAAAAGTCAAAATCTTTTGTTTTTTTCCTAGACCTGCATTCCTCTTTTTCTTTTTATCTCAATTTTTCTTCTACTTATTTTTTTTAAAAAACCCTTGTCGTGAAATTTAACTGGCCAAGATGAACCCAGATTTCGTGCAAGAAAATTCAAAAGGGCACCAAAAAATTCAACACAACCAAAAAATTATTGTGAACTTAAGAACCTGGCCATCATAAAAATCTCTTACCACCGTGATGCCTCATCGAAAGATTTAAAAACTCATTGGAATATTAATACTAAACCCAGTCAAAACCCAAAATTCAAACAAGAACCTAACCAAAAACCCAGAATTCAAACCCAAATCCAAAATTTCCTAGAAACTGAAAAATCAAACCAATAATTCAGAAATCCAGAAATACCTCTAAAAAAACAAAAAAAACTAAACAATCAAAACAAGAATTTCCTTCCATAATCAAGATTCCATTCCACAAATCCTAGTAGTTAAAAAATCTCAACATTACAAAAACACCTAAAAGATTATATCAAAATAGAAAAAGCCCGCAACCAAAAGAAAAAAAAAATTCCAAAGACCAAGAATTGAACGTAA